AGCCAGGAGTGAGGGGGGGAGGGACACAGCCAGGAGTGAGGGGGGGAGGGACACAGCCAGGAGTGAGGGGGGGAGGGACACAGCCAGGAGTGAGGGGGGGAGGGACACAGCCAGGAGTGAGGGGGGGAGGGACACAGCCAGGAGTGAGGGGGGGAGGGACACAGCCAGGAGTGAGGGGGGGAGGGACACAGCCAGGAGTGAGGGGGGGAGGGACACAGCCAGGAGTGAGGGGGGGAGGGACACAGCCAGGAGTGAGGGGGGAGGGACACAGCCAGGAGTGAGGGGGGGAGGGACACAGCCAGGAGTGAGGGGGGGAGGGACACAGCCAGGAGTGAGGGGGGGAGGGACACAGCCAGGAGTGAGGGGGGGAGGGACACAGCCAGGAGTGAGGGGGGGAGGGACACAGCCAGGAGTGAGGGGGGAGGGGGGGAGGGACACAGCCAGGAGTGAGGGGGGAGGGACACAGCCAGGAGTGAGGGGGGAGGGACACAGCCAGGAGTGAGGGGGGGAGGGACACAGCCAGGAGTGAGGGGGGGAGGGACACAGCCAGGAGTGAGGGGGGGAGGGACACAGCCAGGAGTGAGGGGGAGGGACACAGCCAGGAGTGAGGGGGGAGGGACACAGCCAGGAGTGAGGGGGGGGAGGGACACAGCCAGGTGTGAGGGGGGGAGGGACACAGCCAGGTGTGAGGGGGGGGAGGGACACAGCCAGGAGTGAGGGGGGAGGGACACAGCCAGGAGTGAGGGGGGAGGGACACAGCCAGGTGTGAGGGGGGAGGGGACACAGCCAGGTGTGAGGGGGGAGGGACACAGCCAGGAGTGAGGGAGGAGGGACACAGCCAGGTGTGAGGGGGGGGAGGGACACAGCCAGGAGTGAGGGGGGGAGGGACACAGCCAGGAGTGAGGGGGGGGAGGGACACAGCCAGGTGTGAGGGGGGGGGGAGGGACACAGCCAGGAGTGAGGGGGAAGGGACACAGCCAGGAGTGAGGGGGGAGGGACACAGCCAGGAGTGAGGGGGGAGGGACACAGCCAGGTGTGAGGGGGGAGGGACACAGCCAGGGGGGAGGGACACAGCCAGGAGTGAGGGGGGGAGGGACACAGCCAGGTGTGAGGGGGGGAGGGACACAGCCAGGTGTGAGGGGGGGAGGGACACAGCCAGGAGTGAGGGGGGAGGGACACAGCCAGGTGTGAGGGGGGAGGGACACAGCCAGGTGTGAGGGGGAGGGACACAGCCAGGTGTGAGGGGGGAGGGACACAGCCAGGTGTGAGGGGGGAGGGACACAGCCAGGTGTGAGGGGGGAGGGACACAGCCAGGTGTGAGGGGGGAGGGACACAGCCAGGTGTGAGGGGGGAGGGACACAGCCAGGTGTGAGGGGGGAGGGACACAGCCAGGTGTGAGGGGGGAGGGACACAGCCAGGTGTGAGGGGGGAGGGACACAGCCAGGTGTGAGGGGGGAGGGACACAGCCAGGTGTGAGGGGGGAGGGACACAGCCAGGTGTGAGGGGGGAGGGACACAGCCAGGTGTGAGGGGGGAGGGACACAGCCAGGTGTGTGGGGGGGAGGGACACAGCCAGGTGTGAGGGGGGAGGGACACAGCCAGGTGTGAGGGGGGGGGGAGGGACACAGCCAGGTGTGAGGGGGGGGGAGGGACACAGCCAGGTGTGAGGGGGGGGAGGGACACAGCCAGGTGTGAGGGGGGGGAGGGACACAGCCAGGAGTGAGGGGGGAGGGACACAGCCAGGAGTGAGGGGGGAGGGACACAGCCAGGAGTGAGGGGGGAGGGACACAGCCAGGAGTGAGGGGGGAGGGACACAGCCAGGAGTGAGGGGGGGAGGGATACAGCCAGGAGTGAGGGGGGGAGGGATACAGCCAGGAGTGAGGGGGGGAGGGACACAGCCAGGAGTGAGGGGGGGAGGGACACAGCCAGGAGTGAGGGGGGGAGGGACACAGCCAGGAGTGAGGGGGGAGGGACACAGCCAGGAGTGAGGGGGGGACACAGCCAGGAGTGAGGGGGGGACACAGCCAGGAGTGAGGGGGGGGACACAGCCAGGAGTGAGGGGGGGGAGGGACACAGCCAGGAGTGAGGGGGGGGAGGGACACAGCCAGGAGTGAGGGGGGGGAGGGACACAGCCAGGAGTGAGGGGGGGGAGGGACACAGCCAGGAGTGAGGGGGGGGAGGGACACAGCCAGGAGTGAGGGGGGGAGGGTCACGTCCAGGATTGCTGAAATAGAGGGAATACAGAGAACATATACGGCATACATAGACGCGATAAAGCACCTAAATTTTTGGGATTGTCTCAAAGCTCTCCAAATGTACTCACTAGAAAGGAGACGAGATACCAAATGTGGAAAATATTGGAGGGCCAGGTCCCAAATCTACGCAGTAAAATAACAACGTACTGAGTGAATGATACAGAAGAAAATGCAGAATAGAACCAGTGAAGAGCAGAGGTGCCATAGGCACAATCAGAGAACACTGTATAAACATCAGAGGTCCGCGGTTGTTCAACATCCTCCCAGCGAGCATAAGAAATATTGCTGGAACAACCGTGGACATCTTCAAGAGGAAACTAGACTTGAGAATTGGGAAGTTCAAATGATCAAACCGGGCTATGATTCCCAAGCCGGGCTTGGGAATCATAGCCCGGTTGATCATGTATCTTTGGAGGTTCTAATCCAGTTCTCTCTTGAACACTGTGAGGGGTCGGCCTGGTTTTATTCGCTTTGTTCCTTTAATATGAAAATCTAGGCGTTGTTAAAACACCCCATGTTTTGTACAGTTTCGGGTGAACAGTAACAGCAACAGCCACAGCCGACAACAGCCACAGCCGGCACCACCAACAGCCACAGCCGACAACAGCCACAGCCGACAACAGCCACAGCCGACACCGACAACAGCCACAGCCGACACCGACAACAGCCACAGCCGATACCGACAACAGCCACAGCCGACACCGACAACAGCCACAGCCGACGCCGACAACAGCCACAGCCGACGCCGAAAACAGTCACAGCCGACGTCGAAGACAGTCACAGCCGACGCCGACAACAGCCACAGCCGACAACAGCCACAGCCGACACCGACAACAGCCACAGCCGACACCGACAACAGCCACAGCCGATACCGACAACAGCCACAGCCGACACCGACAACAGCCACAGCCGACGCCGACAACAGCCACAGCCGACGCCGAAAACAGTCACAGCCGACGTCGAAGACAGTCACAGCCGACGCCGACAACAGCCACAGCCGACGCCGACAACAGCCACAGCCGACGCCGACAACAGCCACAGCCGACGCCGAAGACAGTCACAGCCGACGCCGAAGACAGTCACAGCCGACGCCGAAGACAGCCACAGCCGACGCCGACAACAGCCACAGCCGACACCAACAGCCGATGCCGACAACAGCCACAGCCGACACCATCAACAGCCGATGCCGACAACAGCCACAGCCGACGCCAACATCACCAAACAGCCGACACCAACAACAAACAGCCGACACCAACAACACCAAACAGCCGACACCAACAACACCAAACAGCCGACACCAACAACACCAAACAGCCGACACCAACAACACCAAACAGCCAACACCAAACAGCCGACGCCGACAACAGCCGACGCCGACAACAGCCACAGGTACCAAGAAACATGCCAGAAACCTACCAGGAGAAAAAACAATGAACGTTCCTCTTTATATAGGTGGGAAACGTCCACCAGCCCGTCGCTTGAGCTGGGAGGGGAGGAGTAGAGGGGAAGGAGGAGGGCAGTTAACGAGGGGAGAGGAATAAGATGGGAATTGTGCTGGGGGGGGGGGGCTGAAGTAAGGACAAGGGGTTACCATGACCTTACCTTGAGGTGCTTCCGGGGCTTAGCGTTCCCGCGGCCCGGTCGTCGACCAGGCCTCCTGGTTGCTGGACTGATCAACCAGGCTGTTGGACGGGGCTGCTCGCAGACTGACTTATGAGTCACAGCCTGGTTGATCAGGTATCCTTTGGAGATGTTTGTCAAGTTCTCTCTTGAACACTGTGAGGGGTCGGCCAGTTATGTCCCTTATGTGTAGTGGAAGCGTGTTGAACAGTCTCGGGCCTCTGATGTTGATAGTTCTCTCTCAGAGTACCTGTTGCACCTCTGCTTTTCAACGGGGGTATTCTGCACATCCTGTCATGTCTTCTGGTCTCATGTGCTGTTATTTCTGTGTGCAGGTTTGGGACCAGCACCTCTACTGTTTTCCACGTATGATTATTATGTATCTCTCCCGCCTGCGCTCAAGGGAATACAGATTTAGGCTCTTTAGTCGGTCCCAATAGTTTAGATGTTTTACTCCACTCTAGAGAGCACTAGCGTCTTGAAAAGGTAGGTTTTGAAAAGGTTTTGAAAAGTGGCAGGTTAAGACCAGAAACCGAAGGAAGATGAGAAGAGTAATGGATGTTTGATTAATAGTTATCTTGAATATTGTGTATTAACAGCATCATAACATTTTTTTAGTTAATTTTATTCTTGTCCAGTCCCCCCGACACGAGCCAAACTGGAGGCAACATAACTCTGTAGCTTCTAAAGCCATGGAAAACACTTCTGATTGAAATTGTTAAATCTGTATTATCTTGAATCTGAAGCGCAGGCGGGAGAGATACATAATAATATACACATGGAAAATATTAGAGGGGCTGGTCCCAAACCTGCACACAGAAATAACATCACATGAGACCAGGAGGCATGGCAGGATGTGCAGAATACCCCCGTTGAAGAGCGGAGGTGCAACAGGAACTCTGAGAGAACTCTACCAACATCAGAGGTCCGAGACCACTACTCATAAACGACATAACTGCTCTTCACTGGTTCTATTGTGCATTTTTCTTTCAAATCATTCACTCCCGTATGTTGTTATTTTACTGTGTAGATTTGGGACCTGACCCTCCAGTATATTCTCTGAGTTTGAGCTTTGAGACGATCCCAATAATTGACCATTGATCTCCAAAAGCTACACAAAGTAGAACTAGGTGAGCACACGCAGGTGAGCACACGCAGGCGAGCACACGCAGGCCAGCACACGCAGGCCAGCACACGCAGGCCAGCACACGCAGGCGAGCACACGCAGGCCAGCACACGCAGGCGAGCACACGCAGGCGAGCACACGCAGGCCAGCACACGCAGGCCAGCACACGCAGGCCAGCACACGCAGGCCAGCACACGCAGGCCAGCACACGCAGGCCAGCACACGCAGGCCAGCACACGCAGGCGAGCACACGCAGGCGAGCACACGCAGGCCAGCACACGCAGGCCAGCACACGCAGGCCAGCACACGCAGGCCAGCACACGCAGGCCAGCACACGCAGGCGAGCACACGCAGGCGAGCACACGCAGGCCAGCACACGCAGGCCAGCACACGCAGGCCAGCACACGCAGGCCAGCACACGCAGGCCAGCACACGCAGGCCAGCACACGCAGGCCAGCACACGCAGGCCAGCACACGCAGGCCAGCACACGCAGGCCAGCACACGCAGGCCAGCACACGCAGGCGAGCACACGCAGGCGAGCACACGCAGGCGAGCACACGCAGGCCAGCACACGCAGGCCAGCACACGCAGGCCAGCACACGCAGGCCAGCACACGCAGGCCAGCACACGCAGGCCAGCACACGCAGGCGAGCACACGCAGGCGAGCACACGCAGGCGAGCACACGCAGGCGAGCACACGCAGGCGAGCACACGCAGGCGAGCACACGCAGGCGAGCACACGCAGGCCAGCACACGCAGGCCAGCACACGCAGGCCAGCACACGCAGGCCAGCACACGCAGGCCAGCACACGCAGGCCAGCACACGCAGGCCAGCACACGCAGGCCAGCACACGCAGGCCAGCACACGCAGGCCAGCACACGCAGGCCAGCACACGCAGGCCAGCACACGCAGGCGAGCACACGCAGGCCAGCACACGCAGGCGAGCACACGCAGGCCAGCACACGCAGGCCAGCACACGCAGGCCAGCACACGCAGGCCAGCACACGCAGGCCAGCACACGCAGGCCAGCACACGCAGGCCAGCACACGCAGGCCAGCACACGCAGGCCAGCACACGCAGGCCAGCACACGCAGGTAAGCACCATCATGTGCGGCGCAAATCACCTCCCAACATTGATTAACACTCAGACTTCCCAAATCCCGTGAGGTGACACGCTCTCGCACCCCCCCCCCCCAGCCTCACCACCCTCCCGCAATTTCCCCCCCCCCCCCCAAGACTCACCATCCTCTCGCACATCCACCCCCTCTCCAGCCACACCACCTTCTCGCACCTCCACCCCCTCCAGCCTGTCCAAACACTCGCACCTTCCCCCCGACACCCCACCCTCTCGCACCTCCACCCCCTCTCCAGCCTCACCACCCTCTCGCATCTCCCCCCCCCCCCTCCAGGCTTTTTTTTCGAAGTAAAGAGGATGGAGAGACATAGGTGAAGGGAAGTATAGAAGTGGGAAATACAGTGAGAGGTATGAAAGCAGGCGGGCTGTCCGCCTTGCTGACACGATGTGTGGGTGTTGGCAGCTAAGCTAAGCTGGCTCCCTCTTGTCAGGGAGCTGTGAGTGTGTGAGAAGTTCTTCACATGTGTTTCACCACATATGGATGTCCATAGATGAATACTGTGTAGCATTCATATATACACACTCCGATGCTTCCACACATGTTGTTCTGTTTAAGGCTCTTTATTTTATTAGCCTATCGCACCTTCCCCTCCAGCCTCACCACCCACTCCCACCGCCCCACCTCCACCCTTTTGCACTTCCCCCCCCCCCTAGCCTCATCACCCTCTCGCACCTGGTTGATACCTGGTTGATGGGGTTCTGGGAGTTCTTCTACTCCCCAAGCCCGGCCCGAGGCCAGGCTCGACTTGTGAGAGTTTGGTCCACCAGGCTGTTGCTTGGAGCGGCCCGCAGGCCCACATACCCACCACAGCCCGGTTGGTCCGGCACTCCTTGGAGGAATAAATCTAGTTTTCTCTTGAATATGTCCACGGTTGTTCCGACAATATTTCTTATGCTCGCTGGGAGGGTGTTGAACAACCGCGGACCTCTGATGTTTATACAGTGCTCTCTGATTGTGCCTATGGCACACACTGCTCTTCACTGGTTCTATTCTGCATTTTCTTCCATGTCGTTCACTCCAGTACGTTGTTATTTTACTGTGTAGATTTGGTACTTGGCCCTCCAGAATCTTCCTCGTGTATATTATTTGATATCTCTCTCGTCTTCTTTCTTGTGAGTACATTTGGAGGGCTTAAAGACGATCCAATAATTTAGGTGCTTTATCTCGTCTATGCGTGCTGTATATGTTCTCTGTATTCCCTCTATTTCAGCAATCTCTCCTGCTCTGAAGGAGGAAGTGAGTACTGAGCAGTACTCGTGACGGGACAACACAAGTGACTTGAAGAGTACAACCATTGTGATGGGATCCCTAGATTTGAAAGTTCTCGTAATCCATCCTATCATTTTTCTGGCTGACGCAATATTTGCTTGGTTATGCTCCTTAAACGTTAGGTCGTCAGACATTATTATTCCCAAATCCTTGACATGCTGTTTTCCTACTATGGGCAGATTCGATTGTGTTTTGTACCCTTGTATTATGTTTAAGGTCCTCATTTTTATCGTACCTGAGTACCTGGAATTTATCACTGTTAAACATCATGTTATTTTCTGTTGCCCGGTCGAAAACTTTATTGATATCAGCTTGTAATTTTTCCATGTCTTCAGCCGAGGTAATTTTCATAATGATTTTTGTGTCATCTGCAAAGGATGATACGAACCGGAGACTTGTATTTTAGTCTTTATCTGATATGAGAATAAGGGAAAGCAGCGGTGCAAGGACTGTACCCTGAGGTACAGAGCTTTTAACTTTGCTTGGACTAGATTTTATATGGTTGACCGTTACTCGCCGAGTCCTGTTTGACAGAAAACTGAGTATCCAGCGTCCTACTTTACCGGTTATTCCCATTGACTTCATTTTGTGTGCTATCACTCTATGGTCACATTTATCGAAAGCCTTTGCGAAGTCCGAGTATATCACATCAGCATTCTGTTTTTCTTCTAATGCCTCAGTGACTTTATCGTAGTGATCTAGTAGCTGTGAGAGGTACGATCTTCCCGCTCAAAATCCATGTTGGCCTGGGTTGTGAAGATCATTGGTCTCCATGAAACTAGTGACCTGACTCCTGATCACTCTCTCAAAAACTTTTATTATGTGGGACGTTAGTGCAACTGGTCTATAATTCTTTGCCAATGCTTTGCTCCCTCCCTTGTGTAGAGGGGCTATGTCTGCTACTTTCAGCGCATCTGGTATCTCCCCCGTGTCCAAGCTCCTCCTCCACACTATACTGAGTGCCTGTGCTACCGGCACTTTGCATTTCTTTATAAATATTGAATTCCATGAGTCTGGACCTGGGGCCGAGTGCATGGACATAGTCAATTTATCTTTCAAAATCTGCCACGCTCGTGTTGATATCTGTTATATTTACAGTTGTTTGGATATCACACAAAGAAATTGTCAGAATCTTCCACTTTCATGCTGTGTATTGGAGTGCTAAATATGTCCTCATACTGTTTTTTTTGGATTTCACTAATTTCTTTGTCATCCTCATTGAATGAACCTTTACTAATACGAATAGGTCCTATACTGGCAGTGGTTTTTGCTTATGATTTAGCATATGTGAAAAAATATTTTGGGTTTTCTTTATTTCTTGAATTGCTTTCTGTTCTAGTTGCCTTTCTTCAGTCTGATAGGAGTGTTTCAGTCTCTGTTCGTTTTCTTCAATCTCCCTGTTTAAATTATTTCTTCCCTGTATGGAGAGTCGTGTCTGCTTAAGTATTTCCGTTAATTTCTTCCTTCTTTTATAATGTAGAAAGAGAACGCAGACGACATTTGACCTCTTTTTGGCTTTCCTCAAAGAAACATGTTTCAGACAGACTTCATATGCTTCAGAAGTCAGTTTTTCTATTCCTTGTGTAGGATTTTTATTTCTTAGAACATTTTCCCATTGAATGTTGTAAGTTCCCTGTTTATTTTCTCCCAGTCTATCCTCTTATTATTAAAATTGAATTTATTGAATAACCCTTCTCGCTTGTTGTTTCTCTTGGGCCTATTACCGTCATTAATGTTAGTTTGCACTTCAATGAGCTTGTGGTCCGAGTACGTAGTGTTTGAGACAGTAATGTGTCTGATTAGCTCATCATTGTTCGTGAATATCAGGTCCAGCCTGTTTTCGTTCCTAGTTGGTTCTGTAATCTGTTGACTGAGCGAGAATGAGTGCCGTGGTACTACGACACCATCTTGAGATGATTTCGGGGGCTTAGTGTCCCCGCGGCCCGGTCCTCGACCAGGCCTCCACCCCCAGGAAGCTTATTTACTACTAGATAACAGGGGCATCAGGGTGAAAGAAACTCTGCCCATTATTTCTCACCGGCACCCGGGATCGAACCCGGAACCAAAGGATCACGCGTCCAGCAGTGTTCTGTCCGCTCAGCCACCGGCTCCCTAACCTTTGTTGTTATCCCCCCCCCCCCGCACCATGGACCGTCATCAGCCGTCCCTGACGACTGGGTGGACTGGGAGGGTGTCAGTCCTGGTGGCTGGGACTGGGAGGGTGTCAGTCCTCGAGGGGTCACTGGGAGGGTGGCACGTACTCGTTGGTGGGACTGGGAGGGTGTCAGTCCTCGTGGCTGGGACTGGGAGGGTGTCAGTCCTCGTGGCTGGGACTGGGAGGGTGTCAGTCCTCGTGGCTGGGACTGGGAGGGTGTCAGTCCTCGTGGCTGGGACTGGGAGGGTGTCAGTCCTCGTGGCTGGGACTGGGAGGGTGTCAGTCCTCGTGGCTGGGACTGGGAGGGTGTCAGTCCTCGTGGCTGGGACTGGGAGGGTGTCAGTCCTCGTGGCTGGGACTGGGAGGGTGTCAGTCCTCGTGGCTGGGACTGGGAGGGTGTCAGTCCTGGTGGCTGGGACTGGGAGGGTGTCAGTCCTGGTGGCTGGGACTGGGAGGGTGTCAGTCCTGGTGGCTGGGACTGGGAGACTGGGTGGACTGGGAGGGTGTCAGTCCTGGTGGCTGGGACTGGGAGGGTGTCAGTCCTCGTGGCTGGGACTGGGAGGGTGTCAGTCCTCGTGGCTGGGACTGGGAGGGTGTCAGTCCTCGTGGCTGGGACTGGGAGGGTGTCAGTCCTCGTGGCTGGGACTGGGAGGGTGTCAGTCCTCGTGGCTGGGACTGGGAGGGTGTCAGTCCTCGTGGCTGGGACTGGGAGGGTGTCAGTCCTCGTGGCTGGGACTGGGAGGGTGTCAGTCCTCGTGGCTGGGACTGGGAGGGTGTCAGTCCTCGTGGCTGGGACTGGGAGGGTGTCAGTCCTCGTGGCTGGGACTGGGAGGGTGTCAGTCCTCGTGGCTGGGACTGGGAGGGTGTCAGTCCTGGTGGCTGGGACTGGGAGGGTGTCAGTCCTGGTGGCTGGGACTGGGAGGGTGTCAGTCCTGGTGGCTGGGACTGGGAGGGTGTCAGTCCTGGTGGCTGGGACTGGGAGGGTGTCAGTCCTGGTGGCTGGGACTGGGAGGGTGTCAGTCCTGGTGGCTGGGACTGGGAGGGTGTCAGTCCTGGTGGCTGGGACTGGGAGGGTGTCAGTCCTGGTGGCTGGGACTGGGAGGGTGTCAGTCCTGGTGGCTGGGACTGGGAGGGTGTCAGTCCTGGTGGCTGGGACTGGGAGGGTGTCAGTCCTGGTGGCTGGGACTGGGAGGGTGTCAGTCCTGGTGGCTGGGACTGGGAGGGTGTCAGTCCTGGTGGCTGGGACTGGGAGGGTGTCAGTCCTGGTGGCTGGGACTGGGAGGGTGTCAGTCCTGGTGGCTGGGACTGGGAGGGTGTCAGTCCTGGTGGCTGGGACTGGGAGGGTGTCAGTCCTGGTGGCTGGGACTGGGAGGGTGTCAGTCCTGGTGGCTGGGACTGGGAGGGTGTCAGTCCTGGTGGCTGGGACTGGGAGGGTGTCAGTCCTGGTGGCTGGGACTGGGAGGGTGTCAGTCCTGGTGGCTGGGACTGGGAGGGTGTCAGTCCTGGTGGCTGGGACTGGGAGGGTGTCAGTCCTGGTGGCTGGGA